GGATTATTGCTCTTTTGGGAGGAAGACCACAGATGCAAAATACCATTTTAATCAAATCATATCAAGGGTACATACTATCAATATGACTTATCACTATTCATGTGGTTGAGGTAGTGCTTGTCAGGTTTCTCTGCTGTAAAGTCATTCTTTTTTAGCCTCTAATGCTATACTCTTTAGAAGGAAGTCACTACGCACATTTCACACTTAAGGAGTGGAGAGCTATGCTCCCCTTACTTGAAAACAGGGTATTGACAAAAATTGTTTGGAATTAATATACATGGGAAATTTGTTTCTTGTCACCCATGTATTTATTGAATTATTCATTTATTTAGATCATTCTTTACTAATAAATATGTTATACTTTAGATTATAATTTAATACTGCAGTATTTATTTTATTGCTCACACACACACTTTTTAAAAGTCATTTGTCATTGGAAACTTTTTAGTTGACTCTTGTGTCATTTTTGCATTCCTTATTAATTATGGATATTTTTTAAGCACTTTATTACTTTCTGACGCTATAAGATGTTCCAGGATCATCTGTATATTTTATTTCCCAGTTCAAGAGTTAGTAATTTTTTAGAAAGCCCTTGTTCCTTTTACTGAGAGTGGCTTGATTCATTGAAATCCAGGTGTGGGTACTTGGTGTGTTTAGTGCTACTGGGATGACATTGTTTCTCATATATACATATACTAACTCATGTATATACCTATATGAAGAACTTTTCTATTTGAAACTATGTCTATGTTAAGGTAAACATGAGTTCATATCAATGGATATCTATGACTCTAATGCATCACCACATATGTTGTTCTAACCTCCTTTATTTCTTTATCTGTAAATTTCCATTCCAACAGTTAGAAACCTGGCTCCCACTATCTTCCACTCATTTGCTTAATTGTTTAACTAAAAAAACATGTATAATAGCGAATCAGAATTGTTAACCCATAGTCTCATGGAACACAACTGTATTAATTAGAGTATAGTACTCAAATACAATTTGTTTTGCTGTTAGCCTTTCATATTTACTCATTTCTAAAGTTACGCCCATCAGCACCTTCACCCTTCTTACTCTCATGACATTTTTTTCATATGTCTGTAATATAGTTAGACTGTTAAATGATTTGTGCATTCATATTGGGATCTCCCAAACTTCAAATTATTTTTTTCAAAGTTTGCATACATCATAATTCCCCTTTTGCACTATAAACTTCTGTGGGTTCCAACAAATGCATAGTATCACATATCCTCCATTATAATATTATACAGAATAACTAAACATTTCTAAAAAATGCTTTGTGCTTTACCCATTCAACCTTCTTATGCTAAGCCATTGCAAACATGTTCTATTTACCATCCATATAGTTTTGCCTTTCCCAGAATGTCATAATTGGAATAATATAACGTATAGCCTTTTCAGACTGTTAAAATTTGTTTAGCATTATGTATATAAAATTCATGTCTTTTGTGGCTTGATAACTCACATATTTCATTGATTAGTAATATTTAATTATGTGGATGTACATTTTGCTTATTCAGTCACCTATTAAAGGACATCTTGGCTGTTCTATGTTTTTGGTGATTATAAATAAAGCTCCTATAAACATCTGTGTGAAAGTGTTTGGGTGAAGATAACTATGTAAATCAATTGGGTAAAACCTAGTGGCAAACCATAAGACTGTTCAGCATTCTCAGAATCTGAAAACAGTCTTCCAAAGTAGCTGTATTATTTTGCCTTTCCACCAGCAATGAACAAGACCTCCTCTTGCTGTATATCCTTGACAGCAACTAGCATTATCTGATTTTTGGATTTTAGCCATTCTAGTATATATGTAATGATGTATTAGTCGGTTCTCATGTTGCTATAAGGAAATACTTGAGACTTGGTAATTTATAGAGAAAAGAGGTTTAATTGACTCACAGTTCTGCAAGGCTGAGGCAGTCTCGGGAAACTTGCAATCATGGCAGAAGTCACCTTTTCACAGGGTGGCAGGAGAGAGAATGAGTGCCAGCAGGGGAAATGCCAGACATTTATAAAACCATCAGATCTCCTAAGAACTCACTCACTGTCACGAGAACAGCATGAGGGAAACCATTGCCATGATCCAAATAACTCCACCTGGTCCTACCCTTGACACGTGGGGATTATGGGGATTACAATTCAAAATGAGATTTTGGGTGGGGACATGGCGAAACCATATCAAATGATATCTCACTGTTTTACTTTGCAATTCGCTAGTGGCAAATGATGTTGAATATATTTTCATACAATTACCATCTATATATATTTTTTTGTAAGGTGTATCTTCAGGTCTTTTTGAATTTTTAATTCACTGGTTTCCTTGCTATTGAGTTTTGAAAGTGCTTTGTATGTTTTGGATACAATCCAGTATATTAGATTTGTGTTTTGCAAATTTTTTTCCAAGTCTGTGGCTCGTCTTTTCATTTTTTTAACGGTGTCTTTGGCAGAACAGAAATTCTTAATTTTAATGAAGTCCAGTGTATCTTTTTTATGGTATGCTTTTGCTGATATATCCAAAAACTCATTTCCAAATCATGGTGCTAGAAGCTTTTTATTATACATTTAAGCTCATAATCCATTTTGAGTTTATTTTTGTTAAAAGTGTAAGATACATGTTTATTTTTTGCATAGAATGTGCAATTGCTTCTGTATTTTTTACTGAAGAGACTATTCTTTCTCCACTGAATTGCCGTTGCTCTTTGGGCAAAGATCTACTGACTCCCTTTGTCTGGTTCTATTTCTGGGCTCTCTATTCTGGCCTGTTAATCTGTGAGCCCATTCTTTCACCAATACCCTGGTGTCTTGATTACAGTTTTATAGTAAGTTTTAAAATTGGGTCATGCAAGTTCACCAATTTTGTTCTTCTTCTTTAGTATTCTATTGGTTGTTCTAGTTCTTCTGCGTTCTCATATAAATTTTTGAAGCATTGAAGACATATATATATATAAGGGATTTTTATTGGGGTTGTGTGGAATCTATAGAGCAAGTTGGGAAGAACTAACATCTTAAAATGGAATATATGTGCAGTTATTTACATTTTATTTGATTTATTTTACCAAAATCTTATAGTTTTCTGTATATACAGAGTATATATATTTTGCTAGATTATTTACATCTTTTGCATTTTTGGTGGTAATGTAAATAGTATTTTTATTTCAAATTCTAATTGTTCATTAAGGACATATAGAAAAGCCATTGATTTTTTATATTAACTTTTTATATTATAAATATAGATAATTTAACACTTTTTTTCTGGTCACTCAGAATGCCTCTGAATCTATATATTGGTATCCATTGGTTCTCAAAATTTGGTCTTGTTTTTTCCATCTTCTATTCCTCTTTTCCCTCTGTTGTCTCTTTGTTGGACTCCTTGTACAAGTTATGAACCTTTCCTGTGCTGTTGTATTTTTTTAAAATTTATCATCTCTTGTTTCTATCTTTTTTTTTTTTGCTTTTGTGTTCAATCTGATTTTATAAACTGAAATTTTTAATTGATGTTGAGAATAGAAAAAGATATTTTTCTGTTTAGCCATTGGGCACACTTTCTCAGTCTAATGTTCTCAGTGAATACGGTTAATTTATGTGAAATGATTTAAAATATAATATTTTTAAGTTTAATATTTTATCAGTTTCAGAGATATCAATGCTTTTTAATAATCAAATTTAACAATGTATGTTATGTTTGAAGATATCATGTATAAAAACTTGTAATTAAAATCTAAAACAGAAACTTGGACCCTCAGTGACCAGAAGTTGAAATTCTTTACAGGAGAGATGCCTTAAACTCTCCTGGGGCTTCACTATTTTTATTAATTATATAAATTAAAAAGGCTTTTATTGAAAATGTTCTATATTTTCCCCAATCCATTTTACTTAATGTCCCACTAATATATTTTGCCACATTTTTTTGCCACTTCATATGATTCTAGACATATGGCAAGAGGTTTTCTTTTTTTATTATTTTTTTAAACTTTTATTTTAAGTTAAGGGGTACATGTACAGGTTGTGCAGGTTTGTCACATAGATAAACATGTGTCATGGGGGTTGTAGTACTGATTATTTCACCAGTCAATTATGAAGCCTATTTTGTAGGTAGCTCTGTGATACAGAAGTAGAAAATAAATGCCATACTGTTCACACAAATTTGTTTAGCAATAACGATTGAAAATGAAATAAAGTTAAAAGGATGAGAGGAGGTAAGATTGGAGGAGACATGAATGAAAAGACAAGAAAAGAAAAAAGCTTTTGCATTAGGAGAGGATCAGGAAAGATAACTAATGCAAAATCTTTTTCTTTTCGTCTCTTTTCATGTTATATTTCTCCTCTAATCTTACATCCTCTCATCATTTTCACCTTAGTTCATCTATTTTAAATCCAGTATATCTGAACAACTTTGTGTGGACAAGTATAGTTTACTTTCTACTTCCATATCCTAGAGCTGCCCATAAATCCTCAAGAAACCTATGGCCAATTCCATGAAAGTCTCTCTTTAAGAGAGACAGGACTCAGAGCTGATACAGCAAGGTCACTCTAGAATATTACTTTTCCCTAGTCCATGGTTAGAAAATGTAACTTTCGTTCTTATAAATATTCCATTTACGTAAACCATATTGACTGTTGATAAAATGAAGGTTTATTTATAAAGGAAATAAATGTTTAGTGATAAAGCCAGTTTCTATGAAGAGAATTTGAGTTCTTATAAAAATTTTAAATTGATGGTGCTGAAGGAATAAATACATGTCCCACATAATCGCTTCTACTATTTGTTATTTAGTCTTTAAGTGGTCATTTCAATACATGTCTGCTAAGTCTTTTAACTTCCAAATTCTTCTAGTAGGATAGCAATATTAATTTTCTTTGAGGATATTAAAAGTTCCTGAAATAGATTCCCTGAGCCAGCAGTTCTGAGGTGTTTATTGTAAAATACAAGCAAAAAGGGAGCCTGGCATAATGAAAATTAAAATAGAATTTGGACATCTACATTTACTATTCAATTTTATCAGCATTTTGCAAGATGAATTATGACAATACATCTTATTTCCTCACAATTTCAATTTTATATTTGTAAAATGGGAAGGCTAATAGTGTTTTCTAGATGATGTTTCTCATAAGTCAGGTTTATAAACAGACAATGAAAAATAAAGCATAAATTAAACCTGTTTAGACAAATTATTCCAATGCCAGCCTACTCCCAAATTTTTTTTGTCTATTTTGGAAATGGATTTAAACTTTCTAGATTGATATATTTTCCTTGGATAGGAAGTCAGATAATTGAGTAATTTATTGGGCACTGTCAAAATGAACTTGAATATAGAGTGTAATATAAAGTGTAACTAGCCTGCTAGTGTAGCTATAATTGTTTATTAAAAGTGATTCATATTTTGAGAGAACAGCAGCCACACTTATGAATTCTCTTTATGAAATATGATATTACAAAAACTAAAAACAAACAAAAAGGAAAGAAAGAAACAAAACAAGATTACTTTTAAAAGTTGACTATCTCAGATTAATTCCTTACCCAGAAATTTGAAACAGTCTCACCACTTGACAGCCTTATAGTATGGCACCATCCTGAATCTAGCTTACAAATGTATTTACAATAACACAGCAGAACATTATTATTTAAAATATTCAATATATAATTCTTCCCAGCAACAGGAAAATTATAGTTAATTGAAACCCCAGATGTGCCACGGACCCCCAGTGTCCCTCTGCAAGGAAGATGTTCAGTCCTTTGATGAGTGTTTCTATAGTGGAGTTTTCTGAGTCTCTTCTTGAAATTTATTGTAGATGTTTGTGGGTATTTTCTAACAGTTGAGCTATCTAGGTCCACTTTCTTGTTGTGGTTACATTGATAACAGCATAGTACTGACTGTGTGCTCTGCTGGTACTCTTTCTCATGGGGTGGTTTGTGGCATACTAATCTCTCATCCATGTAGAACATGTACTACCCTGAGCATCCTGTATAGACACAGGGCTCTTGGGATTTTACCTCAAGATTGACAGTTGTTCTGCCAAAGTCCCAATCTCTAGCACTGCTGTCAAAGGAGACATTACCTTGGAGTAGGAATGTATGCTTTCATTTAGTGTTTATTTTCTTATGCTAGCTCAGAAGTTCACTCAAGAGATTATGTATATCATAGGGTGATACTCTCCCACCCTATTTATGGACCTTACTTTCTTTTATTTTCTTTTTAAGGATTTGAATCAACTGAATATTTTTAAATTCAAACCATTTATACAGCAAGTATACTAGGATTTACTTTTAATAAACACAAAGGAAATTTACCCCAGATCTGGTGTAATCCTTACCTCTAACAAAAAGATTTGAGGGGTCTATTCCTTTTATCTAAGGAGATACTGTTACAATTTATCAGGTCCATATAAGGTGCTGTTTTTTAATGGAAAGAGTTTTACATATACTGTCTATTTACCAAATATAATTGCACTATTTAGGGCTATTTTCATTCACAAAAGGGGAAGTTAAATATGTTAAGTAATTTGCTCATGTCTCACATTTAGTGTGTGATAGACACTTAATTTGAGTCTAAAATCTATTTTTTAATGTAAACTACATTTAAGACTCATAGCCTTTCAAATTTATCTCTACTGGTACTGGTTAGTAATTTCAGAATGACAAAATCTAGTCACTTCAGTGATAAACATGGTTGCCAGTTTATAGCTATAAGTCTTCATTTCAGCATCTTCTAGGCTGTTTTTAGAAGGAAGTATAAAGGTAAGCGCTAAGATTCCTCACTTGGTTAAGAAGGTCTCTCCTTACTATGTTATAAGGAACTTGAAGGTATCTGTCAGTACAGAGAATAAAAATAGATTATTTGAAAAGACCAGATGAAGAAGTATAAACAAGTATATCTTTATCTTAGTGAAGTAATTGGAGAAAATATTAACAAATAGTTGAATATGTATCCTTTTGTAAGTCTATAAAACAAAATATTACACATATGAAAGAAAGGGAAAAATGGAGAGAAAACTATCTGATTAATGAGTGAATTGAATCAACTGAACATTTTAAATTTAATCATTTAAAAGCAATAGGGTTGAGATAGTAAAAACAAAGCAATGAAGTGACTGTTAATCTTTTTTTACTATAAACTTTATGTTTTAGAGTAATATTAGTTACAGCAAAATTCAGCAAAAAGTGCAAAGAGGTGTCATAGATCCTTGTCCCTACCCATGCACGACCTTTCCCATTATCAACATCGTACATCAGACGGGTACATTTTTATGATTGATGAATATATATTGACAAGTGATTGTCATCTAAAATCAATAGTTTATATTAGGATTCATTCTTGGTGTTGCATATTGAATGGGATTTGAAATATGTATAATTACATGTATCTATCATTGCAGTATGTACAGAATAGCTTCACTGCTCTAAAAATCCTCTGTGCTCTGCCTATTCATTCCTTCTTCCCCCTAATCCTTGCAACCACTGATTTCTTTACTGCCTTCACAGTTTTACCTTCTCTAGAATGTCATATAGTTGAAATCATACTGTATGTTGCCTTTTCAGATTGGCTTCTTCCACTTAGTAATATGCCTTTACGTTCTTTCTATGTCTTTTTATGGCTTGATAGCTCATTTCTTTTCAGCACTAAATAATATTCCATTGTCTAGATATACCATAGTTTATCTACTTGTCTGCTGGAGGATATTTTGTTTGCTTCCAAGCTTTGGCAACCACGTGTACAGCTACTTTCAATACAAATTTTTCAATTCATTTGGATTAATTTGGGAAAATACCAAGCTTTAAATTCATTTGAATTAATACAAGAAGATGCAATTGCTGGATTGTATGGTAACACTATGGTTTTGTAAAACACTGCCACATGTCTTTCAAAGGGGCTGTACCATTTTGCATTCTCACCAGCAATAAACAAGAGTTCCTGCCTGTACACATCCTCATTGATATTTGGTGTTGTCACTATTTTGGATTTTGGTCATTTGTATAAGTATGTAATGGTATTTCATTATTGTTTTAACTTGAAATTCCTTAATGATGTATAATGTTGAATGTCCTTTCTTATGATAATCTGCCATCTATATATATTTTAGGGAGATGTCTGTTCAGGTCTTTTGCCCATTTTCCATTAAGATTGTTAAATTTCTTATTGTTCAGTTTTATTTTTCTCTTTTAGCCCATTAAAGTGATGACTTCATTAATTTATTTTAAAAAGTTAAATCAGTTTTATATATCTGATATACATCTCAATTGGGGTATAATTCTTTTAATACACTGTTGTATTATATTTGCTAATGTTTTGTTGAAGATTTTTGTATCAGTATTCATGAGAGTTGTTGATTTATACTTTTCTTCTAATGGCTAGATGATTTTGGTATCAGGGTAATGCTGTCCTCACAGAATGAGTTAGAAAGTATCCCCTCTGATTCAATTTCCTGGAAAAATTGTAGAAAATTTGTATAATTTATTCCTTACATATTTTTAGTAGAATTTGCCAGCCATCCCACTTGGGCCTACTACTTCCTGTTTTGGATGATTATTAATTGTTGATTCAATTTTTAAGGTATATATAAGCCTGTTTAGATTGTCTATTTCTTCCTGCATCAGTTTGGGCAGATTGTGTCTTTCAAGGAATTTGATCATTTTGTCTAGGTTATCAAATTTGTGAGCACAGGATTGTTCATAATATTCATTTATTATCATGTTAATGTCCATAAGTTCTGTAGTGATGCTCTCTGTTTTATTTCTTATACTAGTAATTGTGTCTTCTCTTTGTTATTCTTCACGAGCCTGGCCAAATTTTCTTCCATTTTATTGACCTTTTCAAAGAAGCAGCTTTTGGTTTTATTGATTTTCTCTATTGATTTTCTGCTTCTATTTCATTGATTTCTACTCTAATTTTTACTATTTTTATTCTTTCCCTTACTTTGAATTAAATTTTCTCTACTTTTCTAGATTTTCTAAGGTGAGAGCTTAGACTGTTGATTTTAGATATTTCTTCTTTTGTAAGGTATACATTCAATAGCATAAATTTCCCTTTAAGCACTGCTTTCCCTGTATCCTGCAAATTTTGACAAATTAGGTTTCTGTTTTCACCTAACCCAAAAGACGTTAAAATGTATCAGTGTGGTTTTTAGACATGTGTTTTTTAGTATCTTAGTATCTGATGGGTTACAACGGTCTTCCTGATATTAATTTCTAGTTTAATTCCATTGTAGCCTGAGAGCACACATTGTAGGATTTTTATTTTTTAAAATATTTTAGGGTGTGCTTCATGGCCCCGAATGAGGACTATCCTGGTAAATGTTTCATGTAAGCCTGAGAAAAATTGCAATCCACTGTTTTTTGTATAAAGTAGTTTATAGATGTCAATTATAACCAGTTTACGATAGTGCTATTGAGTTCAATTTTGTCCTAATTGATTTTCTGCCTGTGAGATCTGTCCATTGCTGGTAGACAAGTGTTAAGGTCTCCAAGTGCTATAGTGAATTTATCTATTTCTGCCTATAGTTTTATCAATTTTTGCTTTACATATCATGATGCCCTTCTGCTAGGAACACACCTATAAAAGATTGTTATGTCTTCTTGGAGTATTTTCCCCATTGTTACTATGTAATGCTCTTCTTTAGCCCTGATAACTTTCCTTGCTCTTGAGTTAGTTCTGCCTGAAGTTAATATAGCCACTACCACTTTTCTGATTAATGTTAACATGTTATTATGATGGTGCGAAAGTAATTGCCATTTTTGCCATTAAAAGTAATGGCAATGGCAAAAGTAATGGCATTATTTTTAATGGCAAAAACCACAATTACATTTGCACCAACCTGATTTATTTCAGCTCCTTTACTTTTAATCTATATATGTACTTATATTTAAAGTGGATTTCTTGTAAATATCACATAATTGATTATTATTTTTTGATGAACTTTGACAACCCCTAGCTTTTAATTGGTCGATTTTAAATATTGATGTTTACCGTAATTATTGATATTGTTGCATTAATATTATATCTACTTTATTTGTTTTTGTTTCTTATTTGTTGCCTTTTTTGTTCTTTCACATTTTTTCTTCACTTACTAGTTTTAATTGAGTGTTTGTTTGTTTGTTTGTTTGAGACAGACAACCTGTTGCCCAGGCTGGAATGCAGTGGTGCAATCTCAGCTCACTACAACCTCTGCCTCCTGGGTACAAGTGATTATCCTACCTCAGCCTCCAAAGTAGCTGGGATTACAGGTGTATGCCACCATGCCTGGCTAATTTTTGTATTTTTAGCAGAGATCGGGTTTTGCCATGTTGGCCAGGCTGGCCTCGAACTCCTGACCTCAAGAGATGTGCCTGCCTTGGCCTCCCAAAGTTCTGGGATTACAGGCGTGAGCCACGGCGTCTGGCCTAATGAACATTTTTAATGTTCCAATTCTCTATTCTGTCTTATATATCAACTATAACCTTTCTTTATTACTTTTTTCAGTGGTATTTCTGGAGTTCACAATATACATATACCAATTCACTTCCTCTTTCAAATAACACTATATCATTTCATGTCTAGTGCATGTACCTTATAATAAGATATTCCTAATTCTTTCCTCCTACCACTTGTATTATTTCTATTATTCTTTTCATTTATATATAAGTGTGTATATACACATATGTATATATTATACTTACATATATTAAGTATATATACATAATTGAGGTCAGGTTTGGTGACTCATGCCTGTTATACCAGCACTTTGGGATGCCAAGGCAGGAGGATTGATTAAGGCCAGTTGTTCAAGAGCAGCCTGGCAACATAGCAAGGCCCTATATCTACCAAAAAAGAAGTTAGCTGGTGTTATGTGCCTACTCTTCATTGTATGCTTTTGAGAAGTCGGATTTAATTATTATTCTTACTCTATTATAGGGAAGGCATTTTTTTCCCTCTGGCTCTTTTCAATATTTTCTCTTCAGCTTTTATTTTATGAAATTTGAATATATTATGACTAGATGTAGTTTTTTAAAAATATTTTCTTTTTCTTTTGGCATTTATCCTGCTTCATGTTCTTTTGTTTCCTGGATCTGTGGTTTGGCATCTGATATTAATTTGGAGAATTCTCAGTTCTTATTGCCTTAAATATTTCTTCTGTTCCTTTGTGTATTTCCTCTCCTCTGGTGTATCACTGCCTATCTGGAGTGGCTTTGTTCCATGTAGTTTTCATATGTACCTGGAATAAAATGGAAGGTATACTTTTCAAAAAGCTCCAACAAAAGTCTAAGAGTTCAAGTAGAAATACCTAGTAACTCTTAAGGCCTAAAGTTGAAACTGGCACATTGTCACTTCTACCTGATTCCATTGGGCAAAGCAAATCACATGGTTCAATTCACAGTGGCTACTGAGAGGAGAGATAAATAGGGTCATTACTGAAATATACCACAGGTACCTTTCAAATTTGTAATTGCTCAATTGATATATCAATTTAGAAATTCATATAATACAATATTAATCTACTTTTGCCCTTAGCAAAAGTATCCATACCACACAATACAGAATCTAATACTTTAACTAAACAGTTATAAATAATCTGTGGATTTTCTTATAAATCAACCCCAATATACCTACAAACATCAATTCTCTCTACACAGAAACACATTTGAGATGAAGAGCAAAATGAAAATCTAATATTTTATTTTTTCACAATTTCTTAATGTATGGACAAATATTTCTTTATTGGCAATTTCTGTACCATTCAACTTCTAATTGGGACATATATTCAGTCTTATGAAAAAAGGAACAATCTAATCAAAAGAGGTTATGACTCTCTAAATGAAGATTACAAGGTTCCAATTAAATCTAATAAAATAATTGTAAGAAGTGTGATTATTGTCTTGCTCAAATTGTATCTAGAAAGTGCTAAAACAATATTGTAAAAATGAAACTAGCCTTTCCCATTTCTGGTCTGCTATATAAAGAGCTTAGAAGTCACAACTCTGTTCTAACAATAAAAACAGAACAAACTGAAAAATCACCAACCCTTCTTAGACCCATCAGAAAACTGTGGTGACAGGATAAATTATTGCCTCATATATTGGAGAGAAAGACAGGCAGATACAGAGCATCATACCTTATCTGAGAAGAAATCTGTAAGCAGTAACCTCTGCTGGAAATAGTACCACGGTAAAAAAATCTCAAGTGTAATTGAAAAAATGCTGGAGGCTCAATGTGGACAGGTCTGAGAGATAACAATTTCAAGAAAACCCAGTAACAAGAGGGCCTGTGAGTTTTACCTCTAGAAGCTCAAACAGATCCTCACAGCTAATATCAGGAAAAAAATCCCCTCATGCTTTCAGCAATGGAGGGAGAATAAGCCATTATGAAATACAGCACACCATCATATTCTTCTTTAAAAAGCCTGCTCTCAGGAGACACTATTTTGCTAAAGCCTAACTTGCTGGGTCTGTATCAGAGCCTAATCTCCCTGGGAGTCGGGAAATACTCACCTACAACTCCCTCCAGTAATCCTGCAACACCTTGGGGCTGAAAATATCCAAGTCTTCGTTAAGTTCACAGTCCAAGGGCAGAGGCTTAATAAAAGACTGAGTCCTTATACAGAATGATAGACTGTTTTCTTTCTCCCGACACCTTCTTAACCCTGTATTACTAAAGATCGATATACCGTAGTTTGTTTTACACAGTATATTACTTTTGCCTTTCAAAAAAGCTACCAAGCATACTAAAAAGCAATAAACACAGTTTGAATAAATTGAACAAGCCTCAGAGTCAGAGTCAAATATAATAAAAGTGTTGGAATTATCAGACCAAAACTTAAAGGATGTCCACTGTCAGTATTTATTCACTATTTTGAATAAATTCCAGTATTTATCAAAATAGTGAATAAATACTGGAATTCTTAGCCAGAGTGATTAGGCAGGAGAAATTAGACAAGAGAAAGACATAAAGGACATGCAAATTGGAAAGAATAAAATTTTTTTCTGTTTGCCTACAACATGATCTTATACAGAGAAAACTCTAACAACTCTTAAAATCCTAGACTCCTAAAAAACTGGTAGAATTGCGCTACCTGACTTCAAACTATACTACAAAGCTGCAGTAACAAAAACAGCACAGTGCTGGTACCAAAACAGATATATACACCAATGGAACAGAACAGAGGCCTCAGAAATAGCACCACACATCTACAACCATCTGATCTTTGACAAACCTAACAAAAAAAGCAATGGGGAAAGGATTCTCTATTCAATAAATGGTGTTGGGAAAACTGGCTAGCTGTATGCAGAAAGCTGAAACTAGATCCCTTCCTTACTCTTTATACAAAAATTAACTCAACATGGATTAAAGACTTAAACATAAGACCTAACACTATAAAAACCTGAGAAGAAAGCCTAGGCAGTATCATTCAAGACAGGCATGGGCAAAGACTTCATGACTAAAAGACCAAAAGCAATGACAACAAAAGCCAAAATTGACAAATGGGATCTAATTAAACTAAAGAACTTCTGCACAGCAAAAGAAACTATCATCAGAGTGAACAGGTAACCTACAGAATGGGAGAATATTTTTGCAATCTATCCATCAGACATAGGCCTAATATCTAGAATCTACAAAGAACTTAAACAAATTTACAAGAAAAAACAAATAACTCCATCATAAGGTGGGTGAAGGATATGAACAGGCTCATCATTGCTTGTCATTAGAGAAATGCAAATCAAATCACATTGAGATACCATCTCATGTCAATTAGAATGGTGATCGTTAAGTCAGGAAACAACAAGTGCTGGAGAGGATGTGGAGAAATAGGAACACTTTTACACTGTTGGTGGAAGTGTAAATTAGTTCCACCATTGTGGAAGACAGTGTGGCGATTCCTCAAGGGCCTAGAACCAGAAATACCATTTGGCCCAGCAATCCCATTACTGGGTATATACCCAAAGGATTATAAATCATTCTACTATAAAGACACATGCACATGTATGTCTATTATGGCACTGTTCACAATAACAAAGACTTGGAATCAACTCAAATGCCCATCAATGACAGACTGGATAAAGAAAATGTGGCACATATACACCATGGAATACTATGCAGCCATAAAAAAAGGATGAGTTCATATCCTTTGCAGGGACATGAATGAAGCTGGAAACCATCATTCTCAGCAAACTAACCCAAGAACAGAAAACAAAACACCATATTCTCACTCATAAGTGGGAGTTAGACAATGAGAACACAAGGACACAGAGAGGGAAACATCGCACACCAGGGCCTGTCAGTGGGTAGGGAGCTAGGGGAGGGATAGCATTAGGAGAAATACCTAATGTAGATGACAGGTCAATGGGTGTAGCAAACCACCATGGCGTGTACATACCTATGTAACAAACCTGCACATTCTGCACATGCACTCCAGAACTTAAAGTATAATTAAAAAAAAATTAATAAACAAATTTAGTAAAGTTGCAGGATGGAAAATCAACATGCAAAAATTAATAGCATTTCTTTATACAAATATTGAACCATCTGATAAAAAAATCTCATATACAATAGGTACAAAAAATTAAGATACAAGGAATATGTTTAATCAAGGAGGTGAAAGAGCTCTACAATTAAAACTATAAAACATTGATGAAGGAAATCGAAGAGGATATATATTAATGGAGAAATACTTTGTGTTTATGAATTTGAAGAATTAATATTGTTAAAATGCTCACAGTATCTAAAGTGATCCATAGATTCAGTGAAATGCTTGTAAAAATACCAAGAATATTCCTCACACAAATGGAAAGAGTAATTCTTACATTTGTATGGAACCACAAAAGAGCTCAAATAGTCCAAGCAATTTTGAACAAATAGAACAAAGCTGAAGGTGTACAATATATTACTTCAAAGCTGTAGGAACCAAAATAGCATGGTACTGGCATAAAATTAGGTACATAGATTAATGAAATACAATAGAAAACAAAGAAATGAATCCATGCATTACAGCCAACTGATTTTTGATAAAGGTGACAAGAACACATATTGAAGAAAGGAGAGTTGCTTCAATAAATGGTGCTGGGAAAACTGGATGTATGTAGAAGAATGAAACTAGACCCCTATCTCTCGCCATATATAAAAACCAACACAAGACAGATTAAAGACTTAAATGTCAATCCTGAGCAATAAAACTAGTAAAGAAAATTTAACAAACAGAGAAAATGCTTTATGACATTGGTCTGGGCAAGAATGTTTGATCAGAAACTCACAGCCAATGAAAGAAAAAATTGACAGCATTACACTAAAAAGCTTCTGTACAGCAAAGAAAACAGTCAACAGAGTGAACATACAACATGAATAATGGAAGAAACTATTTGCAAGCTACGAATCTGACAAGGCTTTAACATACGAAATATAATAAAAAAATCAAATAACTCAATTTTTAAAAGTAAATAATTTGATTTTAAAAATGGGCAAGTAAAAAAGAAAGAGATCATGTCTTTTGTATGAACACCAATGGAGCTGGAGGCCATTATTTGTAGCAAATCAACACAGGAACAGAAAACCAAATATCACCTGTTCTCATTTACAAGTGGGAGCAAATGGTAAGAACACGTGGACACATAGAAGGGAACAACACACAT